TATAATAACTATTAAAAAGCGTCGCTCTCTCGTCGTGCATTAAATACGATCGAACACGTTATTTTACAAATTCATTGATATTTACGAGAAAACAAGTTTGCGTAAGCATTCTTTATTTCATTTTAATTAAATTTATATGAATATTTTGATATTATTATTATTATTATTATTATTATTATTATTATTATTATTATTATTATTATTATTATTATTTCTTCATTTACGACGATATTATACGTTGCATAAAATATACGGAGTGAATATTTTCGTAAACATAGGACGAGCAAACACAGATACACAAATACATTTGCGACAAATAATGGTATGAAACGATAGTGCTCTGAGATTTATAGAATTCTACGCAAGATAGGAAAGGTAGAATTCCATGACTTTGTAACAAGATCAATACGCGTTTTACCACGTAAGCACATCTTGGTCTTTGACAAGAAACAGGGAATAGCGTATCGTTTCGGTTGTTAAAACGTAATTAGCGAATGCTTTGGTGAAATGAGGAATGCAACAAAAACGTATCTAAATTATATCTATTATTTATGCGATCAACGAATATGCTGCTGAGGAAGAGAAAGAGAAAAAAAGTGAGAGAAAACCTAATCGATACGAACACGTTTAATCATTCTAAAAGTATCACTTATCCTAAACGAAATTGGAAAAACATTTTGAATATTTTTTTTTTTCTTACGGAGAAAAATGTTCGCATACAAAAAGGTGACATTTTGAAATCGTACGAATAGAAAAGGGGTCGTGATGTTGCGAGACTAATAAAAGGTGACAAATAAAAATGAATGCTTGGTAGAGAAATGTGGACTGTAACAAATCGTCGAGGAGGAATCTTGGACGTAGAAAATATCTTTGTCTTTTGCTACGTTCTCTTTCTATACCTGAGACATACATATTTATATACATACGATCTGTATATATGTATGTATAGAAATACAGTATGTCCTAAAGGTCACTTTATCGTACATTCTACATTCTACATTTTTTCTTTTCACAGGTAACTCGAGTGTCGATGTTTTTTTTAAACTCTTAATTAACCATCAGTACTTCACTAATTAATGGGTCGTTATACAGTTAGTGTACATCATATACCTGAAGATTGTGTTGTATTTTTAGAACTTCAAGTGTGTCCTTGCAAGACGAAGATACTTAACTCGGGTCGTCAAGAATTCTTTTTCTTCTGTGTTGTCTAATTCTGGTATCGTTATTGCAGATGTCGTTAGATTACGGACAGATGCCGGATATAATCGGTGATAATCGTAAGAGTATTAAATAGTAATAAAAAAATTTATAACATAAAATGATAACTCTCATAATATTACAATTCTCTTAATAGATTGAGACTCATTTGTAAATTGATTTTTCTTGTGACATACCCTGTATATGTGTCTCTACCTCTTGTTCGATGTACGATTATATTTTCCATATTTGTTTTTCTTGTAGTGAGTTCGTTGGACGCGTAGATTTTACTTTGAATGGATTGACGATTGATATTGCAATGAGAAAGTAACGTTATGAAAGTGGAATTCTTTTTTTCTCTCTCTCTCTCTCTTTCTCTCTTTCTCTACTTCTGTCTGCAATGTTGGTGGTTGAGAAGCACGTGTATGAACTCGTTCCAGATTCCGAACGGAGAACGTATCACCCGTATACTCGATCAAAGCATTCTGTGGACGGTACGCTTAGCGTGTTTCCGTATAAGACTTGGAAATGTGAGTATATGTATGAACACGTTCAACATAGTACGTATGAACGATCATAAAACCGACCTGGTAGTCTTCCAACGAAATTTTCCGAGTTATCTTCGAGGAGTAGTTTCCTGATGGTTTATTGGTTCTCAACTCTCTCTCTCTCTCTCTCTCTCTCTCTCTCTTTCTCTTTCTATTTCTATCTCTTGTAACCTTTTATCTCATCCTTCCCTTCCCAAAGGCAAAACTTAACTTTCAAATAAATACGATTGGTCTATAAGTTTTGTAATTTCCTGTGATTATTTGTCTGTTTCTTCCAATTTTACTAGTTCCTGGTTACATCAAATTACGCTATGTAACGTTGATGAATCGAGAACAATTTTGGAGGACATGGAAACAATTCTTCTTTCTTTTTTTTTCTTTTGAGATCAAACTAATTTTTATTTTTTTTTCGACATATTATTAAAAAAACTTTTCAATTCAGTCTAACCGAGGGTGGGTTTATTTAATTAAATGTTCAATACTTGTTACGGTAAAACTTAATTGGAATAAATAATTTTTGAATTATATTTAATCTCTGCTTGCTTGCCTATGTTCGGTGGAAAATTGTACATATTAAAACTCACCGATTAACCTTTTAATCAAATTAATTTTATCCTCTCTACTTTCTTCTTTTTTCTCTCTCTCTCTTTCTATTTCGGATAAATAAATAAATAATGTTATTATTTATTTGTCAATTGCCATGCGCGTAAGTATTATACGTGCATTGTGTATAAAATGAAAAGAAAAATGAAAAAAAAAGAAATTTAAAAAAAATATGAAAATGGAACTAAAATACGTCAACATATAGAAGTAACTAAATAATTGTACACGTTAAATGGGTCAATCGGGTTTCTCGATTGTATTGACGAGATATTCTCCCTTGTTTGTAATTAATTGTATCGGGCAACGAACGAATTGCTTGAATGTGAAACGATCTCTAATCACATATGTATATATACATAACGTTTATAGATTTAAGTAAATATGGTTATCGAACATAAATGTTAATATTATCGATTCGTAGATTATACGAAAACAACTATAATAATAATAATAATAATAATAATAATAATAATAATAATAATAATAGTAATAATAGCAATAATAATAATAATGGAAATATATAAAAAAAATCACAGTAGGAAAAAGATTTTCATCGAGTAACCGTTCTAATAGAGAATAAGTGGATATTAATTCTTTTTTTCTGCGATATGGGGAGCACGTGCTCCAGTTGCCACACAAATAAATCCCGTTTTTACGAGCAGGATGTTGCAAAACTTACAGAGATATAACCGAGGGTTGCAACGTGAGTGGTGGTTAGAAACATAAAAATAAAAAAATATGAAAAAAAAGAAAGAAAAAAGTATTTTTACACACTTTGTCTCGTTTTATCTGTACCTCCTTTCTTCACCGAGAAGAGTTTTACGATAAAAAAAAAAAAAGAAAAAAATTACGACATGAAGAAAACGAATCAAAGGACAGAGAAAACAGTTTGTTGTGTAGATAATAGCTCGTTCGTGACAAACGTTAAACGCGACGCTTCCACTGGATCGCACTTTAACTGTGCTACAGGAGAGTAGATTACGCATAAGAGATCAGTTCACGTGTTGCTAAACGGATTACCAACGATCTCTATCCGTAAATCCTGTGAAAATGTTAGCATGAATTTGCTTATAGTACTTTACTAAGAAGTTGTTTTTAATTTAGAAAAATCGAGGGTTAGGTCGCCTATTTCATCTGTCGTAAAAAGTTAGCTGCGATGAAAAAAAATTATTACCAATATATGTATATTTCAGAGAACGTTGAAAACAATTCTCTTGTTTTCAATGAACAGGGATTGATCGTTTCTCCACTATCACGGTTTTTTCTAACTCGTATTCCCTCCTCCTCCTTTTTTTTACTCATCCGCTTTATATTATCTCTGTATCAACGGTGGATTGCCAACAATACTTTGATTGCTTCCAATTTCCAAAGAATTTTCCATTTTTTTACTATCTCGTACTACGTCAATACATCGGGTATAAAATATTGTCCTAAAAAAAAAAGTATAAAAAAATCCATTGACGTAGGTAACTGAAGTTAATTATTATGGTTTCACGTAGAACGAATTACCCTTCCACTACACTATGGAATTTTTCGATTGGTTCAATTTTTTTTTTTTTAATATCGACTTGTATGRATTTTTGTTTGTATATAATTTTAAATGAACTTTCATAACTTCTATTGCATTGATTTCCCGTTCTAATTGTATCGAAAGAAACAAAACTTTTATTGCGTATTAGTTCGAGAATTTTAACGTAGAAATGAACGAATGGGTAGGGGGAAAACGAAGAGAATTTCAATAAATGCGACGAGTAAATGTTAATGGCGTATGATATATGTCACAGACCGTATAAGTAGTACGAAATGATTTGACTGTCGTTTTGAACGAACATACGAATGAACAAACTGTATAAACGTTAAAGTGGTCGAATATTTCTCTCTCTCTCTCTCTAAAAGTGAGCGTTTACGTCAGCGTAGAGCAGGCTTATGAGTATGTGTTCTACCAGAAAGCCATTACGGTGTTTAAGTGCAAAAAGATTACTCTCCAAATGTCGACAGTTTCGAGGTCGAACAGCCAGTTTATCGATTCGTCCAAATGCGAATATTTCGTCCTGTGTAAAACCACAGAAACACTAAATTTTCACGTTGCTTACCATTTAAATTTGAAACTTTTCGTGGTGCTTTTATAGTTTTGTTGAACTTTGATGCGTTTAAAACGGAAGCTCTACATATTGTGGTGACAATTTTTCCCAAACTTTTACCCATTTTATATATCGTATGCACGTTCGTTGGATTACCACGTTTCAAAAAGTGCGAGATGTGTAAGACGTCGCCGAGTCAGCCAAACGGAGATATTATATTTTTACAGATCGTCCTTGGGGAACTTGCATCAACGGCCACTGCTGAGGATATCAACTGTCAAAATTTACACGCTACCTTAGATATATTAAATATTTCAAACGGTCCTCGCGATTCGTAGAGATCAGTTGAATTTGAAGGATTTAAACGTTTAATCAAAAAAGTCTTGGCGATAAGATGGACAAAGAAATAAAAACATAACAAAAATAAGGATCAAAATTTCAAATTAAACTAACGAATTTTCGAAGAATTTACATCGATGTATCGATCAATCAAAATTCTCTTTCGATATTATTTACCTGATATAATATAAAATAATATAAATATATATATGACATTAATACGTATATTTAAATAAATATATATTCATAAACGTTATAAAAAGTGATGATCTATCTATTCAAACGAATAACAACGAGCTTATTAAGTTACTTTAAAAAAGAAGAAAGAAAAGCAAAAGAGGAAGAGAAAATCCTTGTAACGAGTATTAAAGGAATAAAAAATACGAGAAAAGGGAAAAAAAGCTCGATACGATTTTAAATTAAATAAACCAAAAAGAGTGATTCGTAAGCAATTACGAGATTTTAAGATTATTATACCAATTTGTCACTCGACACAGGGGGTGTAAAAAAGCAAGACGTCGACGACGAATATCATATTAAACGAAAGTTCTAGAAGGAAGAAAGAGAGGAAGAAAAATAAAGGACAAAAAATTTCGGAAAAAGAGATAGGAGAATCTTTCGGAGATTTTGATCGAAAATCAAGAAAACTGTTTCGATTAAGAAAAGAGGATATTCGGCGTCGTACCGAAAATATTATTAAAATTAAGTCAGGCGGGGTATCGACGTTTACATGCCTCGCACCGATCTTCTGACGTTTAGGTGGCACGAAAGATCGTCGCCGATTCGATTCGTCATCGACGTCTAAGTTTTCCGAGGAGGTGAGCGAAGAAGACGTCACGGTGTGTGGATTAGGGCGAATCCTCGGCTACATCGGCGGAAGACCGTCGGTGGGGGCCGCCGCTATGTCACAGTCTGGATCAGGAGGTCTAACCGGATCACAGGGTCAAAGTAATCAAAACGGACAGACGATGGAAAATCAACAGACAGATTGTAATCAAAATGGCCGGGCCAATCCACCGACGGATACAACGAAACAAGATCTTTCCAATGGTTTTGAAAATCGAACGTTGGAGTACGAAAGATTTTCACAAGAGAGAAATCAACAACAGGGACAAACGACTGTACAAAATCAAGATCAACAGCAGCAACAATCGCAACAGCAAGTTCAACAGCAGCAACCGCAACCGCAACAGCAGCAACAGCAGCAACAACAACAACAGCAACAACAACAAGATCAACAGACCGGACAATATCCATCTGGAAGAAGGCAATCGGTTGTAGGGTTACCGGAAGATAGACATCCTCAGACGGGTCAACTACCACCTCAGCAATATACCGTAGAAAAAACAAACGCTGATAGAGTCCAACACGTTTCTCAAACTAGCACTCAAACCGTCCCTGTACAAGCCCATCCTCAATTTGCCCCGGACTATGAGCAAAGTCAATACCCACAAATACGAGGTCAATTTGATGTTCGCTCCCAGATATATCCTCAACAAGCTCAGTACGCGGATAGAGCTGGTTACGTGACCAGAGACATTACGTATAGAGATCCAGCATTGTATGGTCAGAGCACGGTTGCCAATCCGATATTCGCGAGTCAAAGTCAGTACGTTACAGTCCAGCACGGAACACAGATACCTTCTCAGTCGGCCAGTCCACAGCCACCCTACTTTGCGAGCGTTGTAGTACCTCAACCACCTGGATATACACAATTTAGTAGTCAACCTCAATATCCATATAGTCAGTACCCTCAAACTGTTATGAATGCAGTGCCGTACAATCCCCACGCGGGCATCTATCAAGCTCAACAATTTGGCCAACAATCGCCCAATCCACAGAGATTCACTCAGGAGTTAAGTCAATATCAAACGCAACCGATTATTCAACCAATCGCTCAGAATGTAGCTCACGGAATAGCGATCTCTACGACTGAACGGCCAAGTCGTGGACCAAAACCGATGGTACCGCCTCGTGGAAATTCTAAGATCACACACGATACGGGCCATAGAAAATCAGCTAGCGTTGACGTACCGGCACTGCAAAAAGTTAAATACGAATCTCAAAATCCTCCCCAAGATCAGATTCATCGTAGCGAGGGTGCCATTATCGTACAAGGATCTCAAATCGCTGCAGGTGAGACGCAAGAAAGGAGATATTTAACTACGATAAACCAAAATCCTAGAACAAGACAGGATGGGCTATACGTTGACGCGAACGGAGACCAAGCGGTTAGGGAAAAAGTCGTAGATAATATCACTACGGAATGTGGTTTATACGTTTCGAAATCGGAGCACAGAAAGTCCATATCCGTAGACGTTACTACGAGTTTTCAGAGACGCAACGATACCATCACTTTTACGTTCCCGGGCGATGGAAATCAAGATATGACCGTACAATCAAGAAAACCATCGACGGTTATTGAGCCAAAAAGAGTCGAGGGAACTCAAGTATTTCCACCAGATCAGAGAAGATTGGACGCTAGCTTGCGAGTCTCACCTATGGCGTTCGATGCGAGACAGGAAAATCGAAAAAGCGTGGCCACGGATAGAAAAGTAGATTGGGGTAACGTGAGCCCAAATCAAAGAGTTGTCATACCGCAAGAAACTAGACGATCAGATTATTTTGAAGAACATAGGCGATCACCGATGAATTTGGAAAGTAAGAGAGTGGAAGATGTGAGAAGATCGCCCATGCCTTTTGTGCCGATTCGTGATACTTCCGCCGATCGAGCAAATCAAAAAAGTCCTTCGTTTGTTAATCAAAATTTCGAAAAGACCAGGCAGGAACTTGCAATGTGGGCTGAACAAAGGCAACGTCAGGAATTAGAGAGGAGTATGATGCAAAATCAAATATTTTCTACTAGCCCGCGATCTCGTAATCAGTCAGAGGAAAGAAGAGAATCACGGTCATTGCATCCATCGGAAGAACGTAAAGAAACTAGAATGTCGCAGTCGGCTTTTCAACCTTTGCCGAATATCAGTCAAAGTACTATAATGGAACAGCGTCGTCATTTGCGACATGTAAGTGCGGATCTAACGAAACATATGGAATTGTCTCGAAAAGATTTCGACGATCAACCGATCAGTGGTTCCGTAGCTAATCTTGGGCCAGGTACTGCAAGTACCGTATCGTCGCAGAGAGCCAGTCCAAATCTTTGTCATCAATATCCGGCATTGAGTGAAGCTAAATTAGACACGAAGACCGTACTGACAGTAGTCACCGATTTCGGAGACTCTAATTCCAACAAGCAAAGCGATCAAGTCGATCACATAATACACAGTCACAGAAAGAGTCACAATATATCGTCGAGTTTGTTAACACACAGCAAGAGTCAAACGGAATGCTTGCAGAGTCAGCTAGATTCCCAATGCGAAAAATCGGATTCACTTCAAGTTCAACAACAACAACAACAATTACACAATCAGCAAAGTCTCGATTTAATTTCGGAAAAACTAAGTCAATTCGAGCGCCAACAAAGCGACCTACAAGCCAAACTACAATGTCTACAGAATCAAAATCAGATTTTAGATAAGGTAGCCCAATTTCAGCATCAGCAGAGCGACTTGCAGGCACGATTGCAAAGTTTGCAAACGCAGAATCAAATCGGTAGCGATAAGATTCAACGACAGGCTACAGAAATTCAACAGCACGCCATTGGAAATGACGTACACCAAGTACAAATGAGTCCTTTGTGTAATCATCAAGACCATTTGGACAAGACAACCTCATTGTCACAGAACCAACATCAGGCAGTACATAGTCACCATCACAGTTTATTGACCACCACATATCCGCAAAGCTCGAGCCTTCAAGCTTGCCCGTCGTCCGTTTGTGAGAAACTATCTCCGCGTATCCAACACGACGTCAATGATCCGAATTCCATTCAAATACCTAACATGTCGCAGATGCCACTTCCTTGTCTCCCCCAGTTCGATCGTGCAGACACGTCGCGCGGTTCGTTCTCGCAGTTTCATCGACTTCAGTGTCAAATCGACAGTCACGACAGTGCATCTGCGACATCGGCCAGCGGAATTGTTGGCAGTACCGTTGGAGTTAGTGGAAATGTCGGTAGTAGTGTTGGTGGTGGTGGTTGTGCCACTACGACGAGCACCTTTACTGGGACTCTCAAGAAAGTTCCTCCGGAGAAGCCACCCAGACAGTCCTTGACCGTGCAGTCTCCGGAAGCAGAGGTAATATAAAAAAAAAAGAAAAAAAATACGAACACAGAGAGCATGCTTCCTTCGGATAGTTACAGATTTACTCCGCTCCAATTTGATAGTAAACTTATTTTTTTATTTACCAAAAACCTTTGTATTTAAGATAGGTTCCTTTCAGAAAAATAACTCAAATTTATTTTACTAGTTTGTGCTATCGATCAAATTTTACTCGAAATAATGAAAAACAAAAAATAGAAGCATCTTTTTGTCGAGAATGTTGAACGGAATACCTTAAGAAAGCTTTTTTTTTCTTATATTTTCTTTTTACATACCATTCCAGATTATTTCAACATAAAAGTACAAAAAAAAAAAAGAAAAAAAAATGCCAAAGAGAAGGCCGCGTCGTTCGTTGCGTGCTGCTAGACGGAGATCTTCGTTCAACATTTTTCCTGGCAGCAGCAGTCGAGTGGAATGAACTCGTTAGATATCAGACACGATGTTGTCTTTGAAAACTTCGTTACGAACCCTGTGTATCTTTCACTTTACTTTCAAACCAGACCGACTCTTCGCATCTCGAGTCTGTCGCGCCTATAAAACGAGATGAACAGGAAGGGCGGGGGGGAGGAGGCGTTGGAGGGAGTTGGTCCGACTACTCACTCGCTTGCTTGCTCTCTCGTTCTACGTGTTTCGAATCGAAAATGGCAGATTTTGCGACGATACGATCGCCCGCTATACTTATTTTACTTCACTTTCCTATAATTTTCTTTAACTCGATCGATATAAGGATTAATATACCGTAAATGTTACCCTTGGTTATAGGACCATTTTTGAAAATTATTTCATTAATTAAATATGAGCCTTGTTATTTGAACGAGAGAACGAAAAACTAATTTGCTTTTAAACAAAAATATCCGATGAACAAAATAAAATAAGAAGGAAAGAAAAAAAGGAAAAATAAAACATAATAAAAATAAAAAAAAGGAAACAAATTCCTCGATACGGACGTTGTACGAATATCATATAAATTTCTTTGCAAATATTCCTTCGTTCGGTGCACTCTGTAATTCGATATTACTGAAAGAACGTTGAATATGGTAAAAAGCTCGTCGTTCCGAAGTTTGATATTCGCGTTAGATCAAAATTGATTTATTTCTGGGCAACAGATCTCGCTCGTTCACCTTCGCATACATTGATGTTACTAACGTCAGCTTTAAAGCATCCCTACCTTATAAAGTATCCATAACTCGAAGGAATGCAAATAACGTGTGGGAACTTTTCACGAGTACTCTCTCTCTCTCTCTCTCTTTCTCTCTTTTTCTGCTCGTACATACGTCCCTGAGTTTTCGCTTTTGTTGTTTCTAGCAAAATTGGGTTAGCACAGCGACTCTTTCTATCTCTTTCCTTCTCTCCCTCTTTCTCGTATATGAAAAGCTCCGACGTTTACCTTGCCGATAAAGCAAATATCCCCCCGCCATTTCGTACCTTCCTTCCATGCCGGACAATAGAAGAGTAAAGAGAATTCACATTTCCGACCATGGTGCTATCTTACGTAACTAATGTAGGACCGTTTCTAAGCTAAATCATGGGCCCCCGAGCTTCGCTTCCATTCATTCGAAGAACAATGAACGTAAATGCTTATTTGCCGTTCTCATTTACTCGCGTCGTAAGTGGAAACGAATACAAACGATCGTCCTAGTGACGTTACGAATTATTTTCATTTCGACGGAATTAAAATGGATTCCCTTCGATTATTGGGTCAATATTATTTTAGATGAATTAAATTTATTTTAACTTGATCACACACACCCACACACATATAATGTTATTTCTTTCTTTTATTTTTTTAAATTATTCTACATTCATATTCTATTATATCTTTCATTTCCTTTTTCTTATATTACTTCAGGTTCTTGCATTTCTCATTAAATCCGTTCAATATTTTCTGTATTAAATCAATTTTACTTTAATCATGCTATTTCGTTTTTTTTTCTTTTTCTTTTTCTTTTTTCCAAATTATCCGATACGTATCCTGTTTATTCTTTCATTTCCTCTTAATTACTTCAGCTTCTTGCATTTCTCATTRAATCCTTCAAGTATCTCCAATATTTCGAACTTGAGAACGTATTAAAATAACAAATGTTCCACATGAACATATTCATTTCTCGATCCAGCTGAGAGATGAGCAACGGGCGCGAGCCACCCTTTTCAAAACACGTTTCTCCCATTTAGAGGAGTTCGTTACGGTTTTCCTTCCTTTTTTTTCTCCACTCCTTCTCTCTCTCTCTCTCGTTTTCTCAGTTGATGCTGGTTACTATTATTATCCTCGTTACCAAACTTTGGACTTTCGAAATGAATTCCCCCTTGTATCAACCATTTCGATGATACTCACTTTTTAATCAATGCGTGTTTTGGGAATATGATGAATACGTATGCTTTAATTAAATATATTGATGATTTGTGTATAGATACACTGGGACTATAACATGACAAAAACAAAAAAATAAAATAAAATAAAATAAAGAAAGAACTAAAAAAGTTTAATGATAATAAGCATGCATTGCATTTTTTTCCCGAACGTAGAGGAACATTAATATTCGAACCACAAACCAGATTGGGATGTATTTACAACGAAATCATTTTCTTGCAGTGGACGCCACCGAGCTTACGAAGCTTAGCTTTCACGAGGCAAGCTTTAGGGCAAAACAGAAATTCTCTTACTCTCGTTACGCATTACGAACTCGAGTTAGAAGCTAATTCGTGTTCTTGCGAAGGACCGAATTACCGTGGAAACCTGACTGAAAAGTTTTTAGTACTTCTTTTCTCCGCGGAACAAAGAATTTCGTAGGACTTTGTAATCCCTCGTAAATTTGATTTTTCTTTCTTTCTACTAGACTTTTTTTTCCTTTCTCTCTTTATATATCTCTATATTTTCTCTCTCTCTCTCTCTCTCTCTCTCTCTCAAGTTATATATATATATATATATAACTTGCTTATTTTTCTTTCTCTGTTCTTACTTTTTCTATTGTATTTCATTCATACTTTGTCGCGCGAAACAGGATAGTTTTGATCATTTTCAGTCTTATTTTATATAATATTATACTTTATAAATTATACCACAGCATTTTATGGCTTTCTCCAACTTTCGCAATTTTCTAGTTACTCTCGTATTCTACTCTTTCTAAACGTTAGCCGACAAAATTGAAACTAACGGCAGAGAATAGTATTACGTTTCAACGGCATAACCTTCCCTAAAGTATATCGTTCGGTAAATTGAACCTGCTACGCCTATGATTCTAGATCACGTCGTAAGAAATAATAGTAAAAATTTATTCTCTGTTATCATGTTTCGAAAATTCAGTTTTAAAAGTGTCTTGTATATACCCTTGTATAATAGAGTTTCATTATTCGTTCCTACGTTCGTACCTTGTTTGGGTTGGTTGGTTGGTTGGTTGGTTGGTTGGTTGGTTGGTTGGTTGGTTGGTTGGTTGGTTGGTTGGTTGGTTTGAATCTTTTAATTTTTCGTTCGAGAAAAAAGATATTTCATTTGATTTCAATGGCATTCAAAATGAGTACTCACGATGAGCATAGATTAGACTTTAAAGTTTTGTTGGAAAAATAAAAAAATAAAGCTTCCTCTGAATACACGACCAAGCTCGGAGATAACGAAGAATAAAATAACTTTAAACTAGTGGGGAAAAATGAAAGAAAAAATTACACGTAATAAAGAAAGGTAAATTATTGTTCTGTCAATTGTTCCAGTTCATTATTTTCAGTAGCGTAATTAAAATTATAGTCCCTTTTTTAACGTAATTATTATTATCATAAATTATTATTAAATTATAACGCGTTATAATTAACGTGATAATTTATATACATAATTAAAATAATTAAATAATAATATTTAACTGTATATATAATAACGAATATAATTTAAAATAAACACTTCTAGTAAAAATAATACACGCGTATATAATTTGTTTTTATTTTTATCAAAACGTATGAATATCGTTTCGACAAAGTTAAAGTATACCTCGATAGATTGCTATGTACATTGAAATGAAAAAAAAAACAAACAAATTTTAAAACAGATTTCCATAACCATTTACATAGATGAACGAGAAATAAAATTAAGCAAAGAGATAGGAAAAAATGAAATCGCGTTGGGAAATCGCTGACGTAAAGTTAATAAAAAAAAATAAAAAAAAAATAGAAACTATGAAACAACAGCGATGTAATGTTCGTAACTCATCGTTGTTATTAGCAACGTCGAGAAATATGAAATAAAGTGATGAATCAAAAGAATCGCGAGTCACATTTTTACACTTCTGTAAACGACGAGAACGTATATAGATATATCTGTAATAATTTTTCAAACAAAGCATTTTCACTTAAAGAACAGGATATCGCAATAAAAATCCGAGCATGCAATTTCCGCTATTGGATGTGTTGTATTATTTTTCGAACATTGGAACGTATCAAATGGTTAAATAATAGAAAGGTTATTTCTGTTCTGTTTAATTCCCGAGGGTACGTTTCACTTTGAATCGAAAAGAACAATAAAGCTTTGATAATATATATTATTATTATTTAAAATATAAATGCAATTTTCTAGAATCTCGATAATAATTAAACGTTGATATACCGTGACTCATTAATATGCATTTCGCGATCAAGTATATCAACCATGATGATCAAACCTAATCGAAAGAATTATTTTTTAACGAACGCATTTAATACATCCTATAGAAGAGAACTAGAAAGGAAGGAATGATTCAATAAATAAAATTGCTTGTTTAAAATGAAAAAAAAGTATCATTTTAATTTACCACACAGTACTCATCTCGATGTTCAACGTTGAATAATGTTTTCTTTTGAAATAAGGGAAACGACTCTTCTATTATCTGGCAGAAGTCGGATACTAGATAGTTTGCATTAGTTAAGGCATTTATGAAAAGAGAAGGTTTGCCCTGGAGAATTATGAAAAGGGAAAGGACGAGAATGCAAGAATATGGAAGACGTTAAAAACTCGTATT